TCAAGTTCCTATTTTGTTCAAATTACAAGCAAGAAAAATACACAGGAGAAGAAGCTGCTTAGAACACTTTCCCCAAATTTAGTAGCCTCACTATTTACTAGGACAGCGGTTCTCAATCTATGGGGCGCGACCCCATTTGGGGTCGATCGACCATTTCACGGGGGTCGCCAAGCAAGGCTGTTCGCCATTTTTTCCCCCTTTTCTGGCGGGTGCCTTACCTCCCTTGAGCTGGGCCATCTGGTGGTCGGCCTGCTCCGTCTCTGCCGCTTGCCAGCTACGCCTCGGCCGGCGCAGGGGGCGGAACCACGCATGTGCAGCGCTCCCGGGCAGGGAAAGTCCTCGAATTACGACCGGTTGGGTAGTCCTCGACTTACGACTGGCTTAGTCCTCGACTTACGACCGGTTTAGTCCTCGACTTACGACCGGTTGGGGGTTGCGGCATTAAAAAGGTTGAGAACCACTGGACTAGGAAGTATACAGTTTGTAGCCCAACACATTTCCCCTGGTTGGGGGAAAACTACAAGCAGTCTTCAATTAAGAATGATAATTGGAACTGGCAACTCTGTCACTAAGCGATGTGGTTGCAAAACGCAACATTATGTGATTGCACCCCATTACAGCATCATTTGCAGCAGTTCCAGTGCCATCATTGGGGAAATCCTGCACAGTCACAATGTTCCCATTGACTTTGCTTGTCAGATACCAGCACTGAAGGTCACAAAAACTAATCATGTCATCACAGGACAATCGGAAGCTGGTCACCAGGTGCCCATATTGTGTTCACATGCCTCCAGGGATGCTGCAACGCCACAACTATAAGGATCCATCACAATTTCCCCATATTCAGCAGGAACCTAACTACAAACAGTTGCTGAAGGAGTGGTCATTCATCCAGGACTACCTGTACTTTAGTACCTCTGCAGTAAGTCCAGAAAGTACAGGCTTTCCTTGTTACTGGTACCAAACTGGGGCCATGTCCTCGTAGACATGACTTAATAGGCTGGAAATTTTGGTGCAGTAAGTAGCACCGAAGGGAACCAAGAAAATATTCTGAAAATCAGGCATGTAAGGCGAATATCATGCCTGGGCAAGATGATCAACAGCAGATTTGTAGAAAGATGGAGGGGGGGACTGCATACTTTTACATGAAGCAAATAATGGGCAGATTTAACAGACATTCATGTAAGGAGGTTGATGTCTTCTAAAAAAAATTAAAAACATGTATAATAGGAAAATGATCCTGTCTGAAGGAAAATATCAAAGTTCCCTTAAATAGCTTTCACTATTTCCTTATGTCCTTTGCATAAGTCCCCTGTTTTTCAACCATTGAAATTTGTTTTTAATATAGATTTTCTTTCAGCATTCCACAAATTTCTAGGTTTCCCCACATTTCTAAATAAATAACTACATAGGTTTGTATATCAGTGGTTCTCAACCTTTTTAATGCCGCGACCCCAACCGGTCGTAAGTCGAGGACTAAACCGGTCGTAAGTCGAGGACTAAACCAGTCGTAAGTCGAGGACTACCCAACCGGTCGTAAGTCGAGGACTTTCCCTGCCCGGGAGCGCTGCGCATGCGTGGTTCCGCCCCCTGCGCCGGCCGAGGCCTAGCTGGCAAGCGGCAGAGACGGAGCAGGCCGACCACCAGCTGGCCCAGCCCAAGGGAGGTAAGGCACCCGCCGGAAAAGGGGAAAAAATGGCAGACAAAAAAAATGGCGGACACCCTTGCTTGGCGACCCCCATGAAATGGTCGATCGACCCCAAATGGGGTCCCGACCCACAGGTTGAGAACCACTGTTGTATATAGTACCTGTCAGTTAACGTAATCAAGTGATAGATATGACATCACTTTCAAAAGCCAAGGCCATGTACCCTGAGATTTCTCTCTCTAGCTATTTATATATTAAGTTTTAATGACTGAATTTCAAAATGACAGTATTTTCTCAGTTCATGGATCAAAACTCATGAAATATATAAACTTTGGGTCACTTGCATACATTGCTTCGAAACAAAAAAAAACTTTCAACAAAATGGGTTAATTTTTAAACAGTTGTTGGAAAGTAAAATCCCTTTAAGGCCTCTGTTAATCTTGCCATTCCATGTGAACTGTTTGGAATACTGAATGATTCTTAATCATTGGCCCACAGATTATGTCATCTATTATAGTACATCCAGTGTTCTCTGCCCTCTGCAGGCTGTTTCAGTCATATTGAAAAGGCAGTTAACAAAAGATGCAAAACATTTTTCTGGCAAGGCAAGTTTCAAAAAAAAAAAAAGGTCTACCACTTAAAACAGGGTGCTGCTTATACAAATCACTGTTCTTGAACTGTAATTTGAAAGTTATTGAACAGCATGATAATCTGCTGATAATGCTGGAAATACCATATTAAAAACTAATAATTATGTGCCATGAAATGAAATCATGGATTGTATTGTATTGTATTGATCACACAGGTTAACAGAAATAAATAAATAAAATTAATTAATTGAGAAGAACACTGAAGATGGCCATAAAGTGCTTATATTTTTTTTCCTAAAATATCCAAAGTTATTTTTAAAAACTGCTAATTAAAGGCCAAAGCTAAGGCTGGCTCAAGCTCTACAAAGCTAGGAAATGATGTTTAACATTAGTGCTCCATGATCAGTAAACATCAGTGAGCAGAGTCATAAATTGTACTTGCTTACAATCTCCCTAGCTCCTATTTTTTTCTTGGCTTTTAAGACTAAAATATAAGTAGAGAAAAGTTGATATTTGGTCCTATATGAAGAATCTGAGCAATTTGAGTAATCAACATTATTTTAGGATGCAAATCATCAGTCTTGGTTTTCATTTTCCTTTCTTCTTAGAATTTGAATCAACACTAAGTAACCTTAATTAACTATGGATCAACAAGCTTTTTAAGCAATACATTTGTAAAACTCCTGATGTTATGGGTTTTCACTCTACAAAGACTTACATTGCATTCATCTTGCACTCAGTAGTTTTCAGGTTAATGTGAATCCCACATTTATCAAGATACTGGTTTATACAAAATAATATTTCAAGAAAGTATACTAATGAGTGGATAAAACAGTTTTGTCCTGGCAGCAGAAAAAGTGGTCTTGGGTTTGCTTTTTTGGTTTACACAACATTATTGTTCAAAAGCAATCAAGCAGTTAACATTTTGTAATCAATTTGGGGAAAAATAGAACAAGGAAGAGGAAAAACATAGAAGACTAAGAAACATCTAGCCTATACCAAATCCTTCATATTATTATATAATGAGTTTCATAACAAAGGTTGTAGTCACTGCAGGACATGGTTCTGCTGAGAACTTCCTTTAAAAATAATCTTTAAAAAGCACTAAGAATCTGAAGATAATTTGATGTATTTACTAGCATTTGAATGTTGTGGTATATCTAATTGCCAAAGAAGCAGTTGTTTAATAGTTCTTTTTTTAAAAAAATTGAGTATGAAAAAAGTTGCTCAGATAAATATATTGTGGGGTGGGGAGGTCCTAACAGTTATACTCAGCAACAGCATTTCTATGAACCTTCCAAGAAAAAAAAAATGGCACAAAGACGTCAAAGAATATTCAGTACCTGCCTGGCTTCCTGTGAAAAAGTGTATTTCACAGCAGAGATCCAGATTGCTGGGCTTTGCACAAAGGTGTCAGAAAGATCAGTTAAAGTAGTTGGACATTTTGATTGCTGTTGAGTCTCAGTGTGGCATGAAAGATGGCGTTTCTTATTAGTGGATTTTTTTTCCTAGCATTTTTCCCACAAGTGCACTATTTGCGCTTGGAGCCTCTAGGAGCTGCAGGGATCAGCACACACCCTTTGCAGTCGTCCTCCTACAACGTGCAGCCTCTCCCTGTAAGCAATCTGGCTCACCCAGGGTCAGGTTGGCCATCGCGGGAGGCTCATCCTGCATGTACGGTGGAACTGGAGGATGGGGATGGGCCACGCCTCCCGCAATGGCCAATCTGGCCCTGGATGAGATTGCTTCAGCTGCGAAGAGCCTGGCCTAAGGTTTCCATTGCCCAGGCTTCCTGAAGGTGATGGGAACTGTGACCCACTGCAGCTGAAGAGTTTAGCTGAGCCACAAAGTTGAATGCACCTGTAAAGCAGAGGTGTACCCCGAGCAGGAAGCGTGAGCTTTGAGAGTGCGAGTGTTTGTATTTCCATGGCTCATGAGTAGAATTCACACGGTGCCTTCCCATTGACATTCAAGGAGGCTAATCGTGGTAAATACAAATCATTTTTTTGAAAATAAAGGGACAGATTACAATATTGATGATGAATTTAAATGAAAAGGCAGTTTCCAAAGCCTTCCTGACCCACGGAGGGAAACCTGAATCACCTGGGGGGCACACCAGCTGGGCTGGGCCTTGTGATGAAAAAATAAGACATCCCCAAAAAATAAGCCCTATTGGGCTTATTTTGGTGGACCAAAAATAAATATAAGACCCGGGCTTATTTTCGGGGAAACATGGTACTAGAGCACTCTTTCCTGCTCAATGCCCTACAGTTCGTTAAGTCTTGTTATCCATCTTATTGCCATGGAAATAGCTTTTGCATACTTAGGTAAATCAGATTCACAGCTGATCCTACTGGTTCTTACATCTCCTCTAAGAATTTAGCACAGTACCACTTCCCTAATGGACCTATATATTTTAGATTAGAAAATAAGCATGAGCAAAACCTCGTGAGAGTCAATTATACCTAATATTTTGTCTGGACAGTGTTTAAAAGAGAACATTGGCTCCCTGGAAGATATTGATTGGTTGCATCAACATAGATACATAATCTGTCAATATAAAAAAACTCTTTAGTATATAATGTATGTCAAGTAGAACGGCGCTTTTGTGATTTATTGTGTTTGTCCATTTTAGCTGCAACCTTAATGTAATTCATAAAACTGCTCTTAATCTATAAAAATATGAATGGAGATGGAACTGCAGTTTTTGACTGTTTTCAGTGTTGGGTTTGTTATGGTTAAAATTGTATATTTTCTTTCAGCTTCCTAGAAAGAATAGACAGTGTCGGTCTTCCTGATTACACGCCCACAGATCAGGTGAATAAAACGGCGTAACAAATGTGAATTAGTGTGGTAGTCACCTTTAATAAATTATATGAATTCAAGCAGGCTTAAATTGGGAAATATGTTGAATTCAATAATGCTTTTATTCATTTATCCCACCCACAGTTTTAACAAGTCATATATGTTGTTCTTGTTAAAAATGCTCTTTCTGGTTCCAGTAGAAAAGTAATTTTGAGAGTAGCTTTCCATATTGTGTGTCAAGTTGCTTTTGAAATTGAGGAAAGGTTTAAGAGGTTTGTGCAGTGGGAAAGAAAATCAGCTATTATGTGAACAAAAAGTGAAATAATTCTGCTGTCCCATTATAATTTTTTCTAATACTTAAATAATTGTTCAGAATTACATTTTACATTGTCTGATTTGAATACATACAGTAGCATGTGCTCACTGCATTCGTTATATGAAATTGTTGATATATCATGTTTTTTTGCAGGCCAAATTTGCTGCATTAAAATGGAAAATTTCACAGGTGCAATTGTTTTTCATTTCCAGGATCTCTTAAGATGCCGGGTTTTGACTTCTGGGATTTTTGAGACAAGATTCCAAGTAGACAAAGTAAATTTTCAGTAAGTACAGTAATAATGACCTTTAATTTGTGTCATGTTTTATAAAACTGGAAACAATTAAATGCAGACATAATTAACTTTTTTAATTATGAGGTTTTCTAAAATATTTGCTCATTTATCACATAAGGGGTAATGGATCAAGACATATACAGTATAAATTAGTCTATGCTGTCCAGGATGTTTCTAACTTAAGACATTATCTGATAAGTATTTTTGTTTGATGTATTAGTCTGTGGGCCTTAAATTTAGTATAGAACATTAGTATAGTAGAGAACATTAATATAGAAACTAATGTTTCTATTAGTTCATAGATAATGAGTTAAGGAGTATTAGTTAATAGAACTAATTTAATGGACAACTTTAAATTTTTACTAAATAAAGCTCTTTCATAAATAATATAGTGCACACAGAATATTGTTACTAATATTTTTATCTTTTGGCTTGCCTAATAATTTTAATATATCAAAGCTGCTTATTAGTTTTAGTGTAGAATATTCTCAAGGACAGTCACCTCTGAGGATTATATTATTATATATTACAATTGTTGCTTATATCATCCTAATAAGACTGAATACATGGCAAAAATTGCTAAAATTGTTGCTGAAATTGAAAAGCTCATCCATCGTTCCTTACACATGGAATTCCCATCTCTATAAGTTGGTTTGCCCAATTCTTTTTATTTAGCTTTGTATATAGCTAAATTGCTAATTGTAAATTGCTGTTACATTTGTACTCAGCCACACTATTCCCCCTATTTTCAGCTGAGCTTAGCAACACTAAACGGCTACCTAGTTTTTAGTCTGCCCTTTCCTAAATTTGACCAAAACGTAGTCATAGCTACATTTTGATCAAATGAGATTTAACTAAAGTTTGACAGCAGATATTGCAAAAGAATGTTCCAGTTTGCTTTCATGCAGTATTTATTGCATTTTCATTTCCATTTTCAAAAGTTAAGTGCACATTAGGCAAATATGAAATTCACAAAGAATAATAGCCTCTGGCTTTTCAACAGCATGTTTGATGTAGGTGGTCAGAGAGATGAAAGAAGAAAATGGATCCAATGCTTTAATGGTAAGAAATATTTTCACGTTCTGTATTTGGTCTGAATGCTCGTTGTTTGTTTCTTATTGTAAATATGCATTATTTTGATTTATCGGGGCTTATTGTTTCATCCTTTATAAAATCTCATAATTTTGTTTATATGTGTAATTACATTGCATTTATCATTATACATGGGACACATGGTGTTTCTGATTAAGTCTTACTCTTTATGTTCTATCTATGATATGTTCTTCCTTAGATGTCACAGCTATTATCTTCGTTGTGGCCTGTAGCAGCTACAATATGGTCATAAGAGAAGACAACAACACAAACAGATTGCGGGAGTCCTTAGATCTCTTCAAAAGCATCTGGAACAATAGGCAAGATATCCATTCATAAATCAGCTGCATTAGTTTGGTAAAAATGTATCTGGGAAGGGCGGAGGGTTTTTGTGAAAAATCTGTTAGGAACAAATCAAGATGCCTATTCTGATTTTAATGATTATTGCAATCTTCAGATAAGTACCTAGTTTTCTTAGCATCATTATAAACAGAGGCTGATAAGGTGCAGTAAAACCTTGACTTAATGGACTTCTTATTCTAAAGCAGTTTGGACAATTGACTCAATGTACAGCGATTGCATCAGTTTATAATGTTTTTATGCCAATGAGCTTATCTCAAAGAATATCAATTCAGATTAAATAGATATTTGGTTTCAGTGGATATCTCGTAACTCCCAGTTGGTCTGATAAAAGATTTTCCTCCTTAGATGGCTGTTTTATCTTAGAGAATATAAAAGTTAGCAGGTATGTAGCAGGTATATGTCCAACTGTGTTGGACTCTGAATTATTTTTTGGGTCTTCACAGATGGTTACGGACAATTTCTATCATTTTGTTCTTGAACAAACAAGATATGCTTGCTGAAAAAGTCTTGGCAGGAAAATCTAAAATCGAAGATTATTTTCCCGAATTTACACGTTACACTGTACCTGAAGATGGTAAGTTTCTTAATTATGATTAAATAATTTGAATGTTTATGAGATCGATTACTTTTGTGCCATCAAGTTGGTATGAGTTCATAGTGATTAGATAGATAATTTTTTCGACATGATGTTCTGTCCCTAAGCTGGTCTTTCAGGTCTTCCAGTAATACATTCATTGACACTACCCACCTTGCTGCTTGTCTTTCCCTTCTCTTTCCTTCCATTTCCTAGCATTAGAGTGTTCTCTAGAGAGCTACATCTTCCTATAATTTATGCCTTATTTGTTCAATAATCAGTGTATTGCTTGTTCATAATATTCTTAGGCGTGTAGTCCAACATCAAAGTTCAAAAGTGTCAAGAGTCTGTCCTGCTTCTTCAAAGTTCAACTTCTGTTTCCGTTCATAGGAAATACCAATTGCTCTTCTGCAGTTTTGCGTATCAGACTAATATCATCAACATAGCTGGATTATTGATCTTTCTTTCTTTAATATTACAATCACACTCATCTTCTCTGAATCCAGCTTTTCTTAATATAGATGGCAGCAAATAGATTGAATAAATAAGGGGAGGGTATTGTTTCACTTTTTTGCCAACCAGGACCCAGTCTGCTTAACTATATTCTGTCCATATTGTGGCTTCCTGATCTATATATTGGTTTTGCATGACAATAAGATGCTGTGCATGCATTTTTTAAAATTTATATTGCATAGATTTGAATGGGTCTATGTTCATTACAGCAACACCAGATGCAGGAGAAGATCCCAAAGTTACAAGAGCAAAGTTTTTTATTCGGGATGAATTTTTAGTAAGTATTGATGATTTTTGAGACATTGTATTAACTTATAAATTTATTTGAATACCAATATGTTTGATTTTTATGTAAGCTTTAATTGTTATAAAAGCAATTCTATCTTGAAACCTTTCTTCATTTAAATTACAAATTATAGTCCATTTTTTAAAAAATTGTCACCTCTCTTTATAAGCTGTGCGAAGCATGCAAAAAAAAAAAAAAGAAGCACCATGCTATCATAAAACCCTACTTTTCTTACCCTCAACATCTTGATTATGGCCATATGTGAAACATTACCGTAACTCCTCGTGTAGTTTTCTGTGTGTTTTTTAGCTGTGAGTTTTAATAAGCTGCAATGAAAGAAACCTGTAGTACGATATCACTTTTTAGTGGAAAATCAGGCTAAGCTTACTTGGTGAGTAGGTTGCAAAGTTAATATATTCAACTTACTGTCTGGTTATTTATTCAGTTTTACACAAGACACTTGGGGGCTTTATCTTTGGAACATCCAGGTATTCCTTGAATAAACAGGTTTAATGCATAATTTTTTGACATTAGTTTGAGATGGTGCTAGACTGACCAGTCTTCCCGCATCTTGTTGTCATTTCCCAGAAGTGCTTTTATCCAACTCTGTTTTCAGCGACTTTTTCATTATCTCTTACAGCGATTAAGTACGGCAACCGGAGATGGAAAGCATTATTGCTATCCACATTTCACATGTGCAATTGACACAGAAAATATTCGGAGAGTGTTCAATGATTGTAGAGACATCATTCAGAGAATGCATCTTCGCCAGTATGAACTATTGTAATTAAGGACACCCTGGAGTCCGTGGTTTTAAGCATCTTTCTTTCTTGGCTTCCTCAGATGAAGTAGAGGAAGAGATATTAGATCCATCTGCCTCCTCAGTTCGTTTGCTTTTATTAGCTTTTCTAGCCCAGCCCATGCTTTAGGGACAATATGTGTGCTTTATTTTTATATGCCACTTCTTTGTCATTCCACTGAAGTCTTTGGCTACCTCTGTTTCCTTTGGTTCGGTTGTAAATTTTTGTTTATGTTTAATTAATTGGACATAGTCTGCTAATTTTTTTTCAGCAGACTTGTTACTTCAAGCTGGTATCTGCTAGTTAGATGACACTGTGTCATACCTAGAATGTTTGTGGAGGGTTCCTTTTGTATCATGACACTGAAGAGTACTTGATAGACAGAAAGGGAATAATGCACTTTGCTTCAGAATTAGAAAATACTGTTGGAGATGTATACATGCATGATGTAGCAGCACTATGATATTTATTACACTGAGTTTTTAACGAACTGAGTTGCAGGTCAACTGATGAAGTGACCTCCTCTTCTAAGCCATTGCTGGCCCAGGAATAGAGTAGGTAAGCAATTTTGGGAGGTTTGGAGCTAAGAGTCTCTTTACACCTCAGGCTTTTGAATTTAGAGCTACTTTTTCAGCCTATTGCATTTAGGCAGAAAATTCACCTTCACATACCATATTTCTTCTGTCCACAAATGATTCAATTAATTTAGATCATTTTGGGGCATCAGTCTTCTATAAAAATATAAATATATATATATAATATATATATAATATATATAATATATATTTTTTTTTGTTTTACTGCTGGTTTATTATATTGTACAGACTGTAAAGTGTAATATTATTTTGTACAATTTTATTGAAGAAAATACTTGTAGAAGATCTTTGTGCCTTGATTATGGCTGTACCTGTAAAATGAGCTAAGATGTAAGTATGTTTTTGATTGCGCTGTACAGCTTGATGTCAACTCTACCTACAGCAGTGACTGGAGGTTTGAAAAAAACTCTGTAGAGTTTAGGTTTTTTTTTCTGATTTATATAAAATGTTCTTTAGTATAAAAAGTATAAATTATGCAAATTTTAGTCATATTACCTTTCCAAGTAAGTAATTGCTGCTACTATGGCAGCAATAGCCTTTCAGACTCAGCTTTAAAAATTGATTTAAGTGTCCAAATTGCAACCTGGTGTTAGTTTTCTGGGAATATCTTGTTTTACCTTTAAAACTATGTTCAGTAATTCTTTGGTCATTCATAAACCGTTCACAGTTGCAAATTGTGAATGTGTAAAGGCACCATTAGATAAGGTTGTTTTTTTTCAATCTTTGTTGCAACAGCTGCTTTTATTGTGCAAATTGCAAGAAAGAAAAAAAGGTGTAATCCTTGTGTTTGGCCTAAGAGAATTACAAAATGACGTATTTATTTCTCTAAATAAACAGATCTTAGAAAATGGTTTTATTTTAAATATTGTAGAAGCATAATGTTTTTCAAACTTGAATAATTTATGCAAATGACATTCACAAAATAAGTTGTGGTACAGTTCAGCATAAAAGCAAGAATTGGTGTAGCAATAAGGCATGCCTTTCTCGGTAACTATGAGATTGTTTTATATTTTATACATAGGCATTATGTCAGAGTACAGTTTCCAGTGCCTGAGAAAATCTGTACAAATATTTAAAATTTGTAGATGCAATAACAAATTCAGAACTTCATAAATTATAATACTTGGATTATCTCTGCCTTTTGCTATGAAGATAAATTACTCTTAAAATATTTTGATGGCATAATGTGAAACTATTTTTAAATTAGGAAGGCATGTTTATTGCATATATTATCCCAGATCACTTTTGGAAACTGAGAAACAATTGTATCTCTGCAAAAGAATCAGGCTAGTAATCTGTCAAGATACTCTGATTTTGAAGCATTTTAGATCTACTCTGAAACTGGTACTTTGACATACTGTATTCAGTCATAACCTTGTTATGTTTCCAAGATGATTGAAAGAAACTAATTTTGATATGATGAAGACATACCAGTCTAAAGATTCATATTTCCTCTAAAACCGTAGCAGTGAAAATGTAAACTACTACCTGTTTAAAAAAAGTGGATGGTTCTGTTATTGATAAGAATGGGGTAGAGTTATTGTAATTCTGTCCCTTCTTTTTTGTTTGCTGCAAATGTCAGATTATATTCTGTCATTCAGACAATTTTAATCTAATGCCCTCCAAATGGATTCTTGTTTACAACTTCCAGAACTCTTTCCAGCATGCCTGGAAATTTTGGGATCTGTTGTCTCCATACATAGGTGGCCATCAGGAAGAGGAAGGCTAACCTAAACCTTTACTGAATAAAATTCTCTTTAAAATTTATTTAAGTAGATGAAGAAAACCAAGTCTACAAATTTCTGCAGCTTAATTTATAATGCCTTTTTAAGTTGCATACAAGCACTTTTTTAATGCTATTAATCAGATAGGACTTAAACATGTAGGAATGGAATGCCAAGTTTTTTGGTAAGGTTTTATCTCTCTTGGGGGGGAAATAGTCACGCAAACTGAGTCATACCATAAAAACTCTGTGTGAATCTAATAGTAGTTGTTTACATCTTATTCCAGGGGAAAATGTTCAACCAAGCTTCAGTCCATATGTTCATGGATACAGAGTGCACACCCTAATTCTAAATGTGCAAGGGGCTTCTCAGTTTTCTACCTGGTTTGCCAGTACTCTGCAAACTTATTAGCAAAGTTTTTTGTTGATGCTGTCACACGACTACCATCTAAAACTATTTGCATCTAATTTAAAAGTGACTCGTGAGAGTAGAAAATTATGTCACCTATTATAATTATGTTTTGCTTCTGTTTTGGTAATACCTTGCTGTAAAATAACTACATCTTGTATTGCTGGTATCAAGGAAATGAACTACCACTTCAGATGGTCACGCAGCAATAACACTTTAAAATTCTTTTTCTATTACAAAGACTGAGCCTCTGACAGCGTAGGGCACTAGTGCAGACACAAAAGGAGGCTTGTAGAACTTAGTGTACAGTTACAAACTTTTAATATACATATTTGATACAAAAAAACTTTAGCAAGAAAACCATTCATTTGATTGTAGATTACAATATTTTTGTACAGCATGAAGCAGTTACTTTAACCTGTAGTAAAAAAAAAAAAAAAAGTCCTATCAACTGTCTAGAGCTTTCTGTCTGTAAGAGCAGTTTGCCTTTGGGCTAGCAATTCAAGTACGCGTTTGCTGGCATGAATGTAGTCTGATGGATTGTTCTTTAGCTTTGGTGTGTCAGTGACTGATTCCAAGTGTCTGACTTTTTCATAGTGCTTTATACTTAGTGATTAAACGCTGAACAAAATGGTAAGGGGAAAGAAGGGGCTGAAAGTGAGCCAGAATGAGGACCACCAGCACAGATCCTGCTGTACAGTAAATGGTTATTACTGTGTTCTCGTATGGAAGAAAGCACTTGTAGAGTGAGGCCTCTGTTGATGTTATGCTGCCCTGAAAAATGAAAGCAAGAGTTTAGAAGGTCTGAGGCAAATGGCTGTAGATATTGAAGGTTCTATTACGGAAGAGGGAAGCTGAGTTCTTAAAGTAGCACTACTTTCAATTGTTCATGGTTCAAGAGATGCAGACAACTCTGAAACTTCTAATGGTAGTTATTTTGCAATTAAGCACTGAACTGCCCTGTGTGAACATTTTGTGCCATGTGAAAAAGGACCTTCCAGAACACAACAGCTGTTGTTTGACCGGAGAAGGGAAGACTTATATAGTTAACAGCTTAAAACCCTTAATTATACTAATGGTTGCTGTATAATTGGGGGAACCAAGCATTTGAAATTGCATGAAATAAAATACAACATAGCTCTCTGTTCTTATAGAATTGGGAAGGGATTGGGATTATGGATAATCTAGCCCCATAGATAAGCATCCACATGTCAAGAGTGCTAGAAACATGACCTCCTAGATTGTTAAATAAGGACTTTAAACAAAATATAGGTGAAACTATGCTTCTCAAGGAGAACAATTTAAAATCATGTTACCTAAAATGAGACAGATCTATGAATTAAAAAGTACAATAGAGCTATAATCGCTTTGCCTTTCCTGAAGCTCAAGGAGCTGAAAAAGTAAAGTTAGCATAGAACCAATTTTGAAGATAGCATCATTTAAAACAAGGCTTAGAACCACGAAATGTTTTGTGCTCCGGGTTTATTAAGAATTGTAATCTAGTATACCCCAAGTAAACTGTGAATTAGATTCCTCTGAATAGAATTTTGCTGCCCTATGATATAATTTGCACTTTTGAAAGCAAAGAATCCCAGAGGGAAAAGGTGGTCTTGTGAATAAATCAGTCAAGCAAAAACAAGTCTCAATACTGTTTGTTGCAGACTACTGACAATTGTAGTCAGATTGTTTACACTGCATCCTCTTTATAGAAACGTACTAAATATGCTTGCATTTAGAATTGTAAATCATAAACCTTACTTTGCACTCTACAAGCTAGATGGCTCTCCGTGTATGTGCTTTATAAAGCGGGTGCTTTGTATTCAACTTAAGTGTACTTTTGGAGAGGATGGAAGAAGCTGTTCTGTTTTGCTTTTTTTTACAGGTAGCATCAGTCTGAGAAAATAGCTGATTGCTATGTTGATTTATATTATGAAAAAATATCTGATAAAATAAACATTTAAATTTACCATTATGAAACTAGGATTGTTTCTGTTCCTCCAACTGAATGATGGAACACTGATTTCATGAATGTTACCATTATGAAGCACTTCACAGGCACTGTGGGTATGACCACTCAGAATCAGTCGAGGATGAAACCACCATAATAGCTATAAAGTGGAATAAAACATCACTGTTACCATTTCTGATTTAAGAAATAACTCCTCCACACAGCACATCTTTCTTTCAGTTTCCCCTCAGTCATTTTAATCAGTGCTAATTTATTAGAGTTGTTATCCATCCATCCATAAAGTACTATCAAATTAGCCCAGTAATACCAGAAGTAACTCAGTTTTGACGCAGAGCTTATTCCAAAGCTCCTGTCCACCACATCTTTGGGAGAAGTGTGGTTCGGCGTTACACAGGAATCTTTGACTTAATAGGGCCCAGGGAACCACTACATAACGCTTGAATTCACTGTGATATATCATTAACAAATAAGCATGCTAGGGGTGATATGCTTGATGATTTCCACTGCCAAGCTAAAATACCTTTTGCTTTATGGCATTCCTCAAATATATTGGATCTCAGATTTCAAACTTTCCCACCCAGCAAGGCTTTGAGCCACAAAGACTGAGACGGAACTGCAAAACAGGTACATCACCTGCAATCCAACTCAGAACAGAGGTGTACAATTTTGACTCCTAGTACACCTGGTTGCAAAATAGGTTCTACACTGCACCTAGGTCTTCTTTACAACAGATTTATATCACTGAAAACTAGTGAATTTATTGTAAGCAAATACAGTAAAAGGCGAAACTTCCCACATACAGTACTGCTTCTTTCTTTAACAATGCAACAATATGCTGTCATTTTTCATAAGAGAGAAAGAATGTCTCCCAAACTCCAGATGTCTTGAAGACGAAGGAAAGTTCCCTTTGCATTGGTTACTTTGTCACTGTATTTATAGCACTGTGTGCTATAAATATTGTGCGTAAAATATTTCCTAAAAGAAATAAGTTCCGCTGTGCAACTTTTAAGAATAAAACATTCACATTTTTCTTTATTAATACAACTCCACAAGTTCACACTTAAGTAATGTAAAGCCTCTGGTCAAAACAAAAATACCTTCTGGGAAGCTTCTTGAGAAAGCACATCGTATTTCTCTCGAAAGAGGTCATTCTTTTTCTCCAGGGGAGCAGAATCTTCCCCTGTACATTCTGAATCACTTCTTCTATAAAGAGGATAATGCTGAGAAGAATTAAAAGCACAAAATAGTTCCAAATAAAGTTTCTCAATATGTCCATGCTAAATAAAGTGCAGAGATCTCATTCTATCATAGTCTTCCAACTTACCTGCAACAGAATTGGAGCCGAGGCTGGGAGTTTATTCACATTACTGCAGCTTTTCTTATATTGATTTTGTTCCTGTCCACAAAAATAAGAAATGATTTAATATATACCTTACACAGAGCAACAAATAGAAAAGTCATCGTGGTTTTTAAGGAAAACTTCTAGTATTTCATTAGAATTGAGGGAATGGTGCAGCTATATAAAACTGGATTTTCTAAAAAACACTACTCTTATGTTCAAAGAATGGATGAGTCAGTTTTTAGGCACCCCTTGAGTTAGAGAGAGGCAAAAAATGTCTGCAAGATATATTAGAATATTTTAGCAGAACCACCCAGGATTTTTTAGAACAATGTCTATGCACACAATACACAAAAAAGAAAACAGTCATACAGTAAGTACTGAGGGTGTCAGTCCTTCAAGATGGATCAGACTAGGAACCAAATTTTTGAATGCTAATTCTACTTTTATTATGAGGTTACAGTAATAGAATCTGCAAGTGTGAATATGCTTCCCCTCCCCTCCCTTTATCATCAAGGGAACTGGGGAAGGGGGTCAAGCCTGAGGTGCTTTCTTAAATTACAATTCTGCCTCTAGCTCAAATTTCTTTTCTCTGACAGTAGACTCAATTACTGCTTTTCCTTCTGCTCAAAGTTATTCTCTCAACCCATTACAGAGGAAGGAGCACTAAGTATGCCACCTTCAGTTTTTATATGTGGTATAAATCTAACAAATATCAAACTATCAGATTTAATTAATTTAAAGAGCAGGTAAGCCCTGCTATATCAAGAGTTTATAAGTGCTGTAGGATTGAGGAATCCATAAATAAATTACTATAGTTTAAAAGGACTCTCTCTCTCCATTTACTAAATTCAGACACAAAAGGGACTTCTGAAGATGATTACAATACTAAAAAGAACAGATTTGATAGTGCTGCTGCTTTATTCATATCCATAATTTCATCCTGGTTTTCCCAATGCCCAAGGACAGAAACCTTCACCCCATACGGGCTTTCTCATTCATTTTAATGAACTGAACATATAATTTTTAGAGGAAAAGACAGATTGCTGAAAGATTGAGTGCACAAGAATAATAATTTGGGAAGGGCTTAGTTTGAAATAATTCTGGAGAGGAGTTATTCTTTACGTTGATAAGCTTTCCCAAAAATCATTATATGCCTACCTTCCATGAGCAATTCAGTTGGTGGGAAAGTTCAATGAGTTTGGCTTCTGCTGTTCTGCAAATCATACAGTTGTCACCTTCAAGAGCAACACTGTTCACTATAAGAAAGCTAAAAATATAAGAAGGAAATATGCAAGTTACAGCCAATAAATTAGAAGATCCCATATTCTTAACTTGGAAAGAAAACAAAGTAGCATAAGAAGACTTCCCCACTGAATATACTTCTAATGTGCTGAAGATTACAACAGACAAAGAGGGCCATGTCACAAATAAGTGGAGAATTCTCCCTGGGTTTGCAGAGAACCTGCCCAAGGTAATAAATGATCAGGAAGTGGATATATAATCATAAATATTGATCTTAATACTGAAGCTGTCATAATATGATTCTCTGTCTTAAATGTTAACTTGGCAAAAACCAATCAATGTATCATTGGTTACTAGATATTAACACTGATACAAAAATGGAGTTTAAACAATGCAGAATCTTAAGATATTGTTTATAGTATCAGGAAATGAATACATGTTTCTGTATAATGGGCTGCAGTTAAATTAAAATGCAAATGTTAAAAGCAGAATTAGAACAAATTTAATAAATATTATTTTTTTATGTGGCTAAGAAGCTAATACCAAATAGGAAAAAAAACAGATAACAAGCAACAATTCTTATCCTTTCAGCAGAAATATATTAAAAAGTATTTTCTGGAGAGCCAAAAATTAATCTTAAAAAATCTATAATTTACTTTTTAATAAAATGTAATGTGACGCCATCGTTGTGAAACTAATATTTTGCTGTAAATGCCAAAGTACAAAGACTAGCTACAATAATAAAACCCCCAGTAAATTTAAAAAAAAGTTATACTCACTTTATCCCTTTCCGAGTTATTACTTTTTCAGAAGAGAAGTTGAAACTTTTAGAGAAACGTTCCAGTTTGAATGATGTCATCCTAGGAGCGTATAATAAAAGACACAGCATTTCATTATACCGTAATAAACAATGTAACTCCCAGCATGGAGAAAACATAACTGAATTAGAGCATCCAATATTTCAATCTGTATTCCACAATTTTAAAACAATGCTCACTCATAATGAAAGCCGATGTCATGATTGCCAACAATACCAAATACTTCTGTGTGGTCCGGATGCCGAAATATTTTTTGATAGCGTCTTACATCATCTGACCAAGCCTGCAGAAAAATATATTTAAAAATTTAAAAACTAGAAATCTTGTTTAAATAAAACTAAATACTATTAGTTTTAAGCTTTTCTGTTTTGATTATCCTTGCCTTTGCCTAGAATAAATGGTCAGCAGACAATACATTGAGCTAAGGCAGGGGTAGGCAGCCTTGGCTCTTTTATGACTCGTGGACTCCACTAGTCATAAAAGAGCCAAGGTTGCCTACCCCTGAGCTAAGGCAATCAACTGCATTATATTTATATTAAAATTCATTTTTATATATTAAAAATGAAAACAAACTATTTTCTACATTATATTCAGAAAAAAAAATCTTAAAAGAAGATAAAGGGCACCAGTGCATTTCTTTAAACACAGCAGCTTGCATTATGTTATTTTTCCCCACCTAGGGCTGTTGAGTGTTTAGATACTAATATATTATAATTATTCTTAGAATCATAAAAAACCTTTCCAAACCAACACAGATTTCTACATATTTTATTTTTATTTATCAGCCCTATTTGTCCATAATGTGTCCAATTTACCCCAACCCACAGTTCATTTTTGTAAGAGTGTTCTGAATATAAATTTGGCTTTAATACCATAGAAATAATCTACCCAAGACATCTACTGAATTTTACACTAATCACTGGGGGAAAACTGCAGTGTGTTTCATTTTAGAAGACACTTGGTCTATAACTTATGGGTAACCTCTTGCTAATTGAAGAATTTAATCACTACTACCCTGGTAGGAGACGCAAATCTGTCAAATTCAATTTCGTACAGTTGCTCTTTTTTCTCATTTTTCATTCTGCTCTATTTCTTCATCAATTTGTTTTCTTCTTCTCACAAGCCTACACAAACAATCTGCGTTTTTCTTTGTCCACATTTTCCTAATACACACACACACACACACACACACACACCATATATATTTGTATACGGATTTTCTGAATACTTTAGCAAACTGGTTAATTTAGAAAAAATATTTCAGTTGCATTTTAGTCGGTGTATAGGACCAGAAAATGGGAATTGTTAAGGTTCATTTTAAAATGCAACTTATAGGAACTTACAGGAACTAGCAACAATACACAAAAGTTATCTGTGCTAAAAGGTCTGCTGCCAACACTGCCAATATTGTCTCAGTTGGCATATCTGTTGTGCAAAGTACCATCTATAAATACAAACTTAAATTCTAACAGTGCTGCAATATTCATAAACAGCTTCCATTTAGTAATTAAGATTCTAAGAACTGAAACTACTCCTGGCCTTGAACTTTTATTCACTTATTAAAAGCATCTCTTTTGCTCGGAGACCCGTTCAGGGGCACAAACCTGGGAAGAGCTCCATTTCCCTTCATCAAAGATATCGCCCAGGATGAAAACTATTTCCGGCTGCAGAAGCCAGAGGGCAGTTTGGAAGGCCCTCTCCATCTGCCATTCCCTATCAGGGGAAAAAGTACAAAACATATTTCAATTAACATTACAAATATTATGAAGCAATTATAAAATCTGGATTAAAAGTAGCTGGGTACAGAGTGGCCTTCTCTTTTAACATTGTGTGGAATATCATGTTTAATAATCTGGAGCAAACATCTACATTTTAGAACTGCCAGGGCTGTACAAAAGAGCCACCATTAGAAATCCTTATCACCCAGGAACCAATATAGGTGGTTTCACTAGATTTTAGCCTAATTTTGAAGCTTTTCCAACTCTTCAACTGCTTAGAATTATCCACAACACATGCTACCAAAAATCAGCTCAAGGAAAGGATGAACTGAATAAACTGTTTAGAGTTACAATCAACTATCACAAAGCCTTGACTATGTAACGTTACTCCAAACTATACATACAGTACAAAAAGCAGGCTAAGCTTCATTTTCCACTTGATCAAAATACTGGTGGCATAGATTAAGGGAAGAAGAAAATCAAGAATAGTCTCAGAATGTAAGAAGTGGAACTATCTCTTTGTGGTGCATATTAAACAAAGAAGGATTTCCTGGTGGGCATCTATCCCTCCCATTATAATTAAAAAATCAGGAGGGCAAAATAAAACAGCAAACACTTGCTGTTCAACAGCAGCCTCAAGGTTGTTGGCCACCATCTCTCCATCCTCCACAGTTGCAATTAACTGGTTTTACTATTCCCTCTCCCTTTTGTTTTTCTTTCTCTGCAAAGAAACTTCAGTAAACGAAGAACAAAGAAATTGGTAAAGTACCAATTCATTGCCATTTTTATTGCTCCCCATCAGTTATCAGCAAGAAGGCCTGGTTGGCAAAAGAGGAGAAAATGAAGACAATTGCTATCCTTGGCAACAACAGAAATGTTGCTTACATTGGAGGAGAACAACAAGGGCCACTCAAAAATTGCTGTTCTGAATGTTCTAACAGAAGGTTGGGAAAATCCCATTTGCCAAATAAGAAATAGAAGAAGGTACTTTGGAAATGACATGGTACATCCAAAACCAGTAAAATTGCTAAGCTATAAAGGTGGAATATATATATATTTTAGAGAAAAGAAATAATCAGAGCGTAAATTATTATAATCCCAAAGTAAAAAAGAATTATCCTTGATTAGTCAGAAAGCAGAAAAAAATACTATGACTGAAAGTTATATAAAAATTTCCATTATTACGACACAAATTTCAATAGAGAGCAAACATTCTGAAGTCACTCATGAATTCCTGACATTATCCAAAAACAGCAGACCACCCACTTAGACTCTGTGACTTACAGCAAGAATGGGAAGACTGAAGAAAAGTTTATTAGAGAAACCTCAGCACATGAAATGGAAACAACTTTTTTGGACCTTGAAGACACCAGAGAAATTAACAATGTAATAAAAAGATTGAGGACAGCCAAAATTACATATCTTGGTGACAGGATACTGTAACAACAACAACAACAACAATAATAATAGAGTTGGAAGGGACCTTGGAGGTCTTCTAATCCAACCCCCTGCTCAGGCAGGAAACCCTATACCGTTTCAGACAAATGTTTGTCCAGTTTTTTCTTAAAAACTTCCAGTGTTGGAGCATTCACAACTTTTGGAGGTAGGTTGTTCCACTGATTAATTGTTCTAACTGTCAGGAAATTTCTCCTTAATTCCAGGTTGCCTCTCCCCTTGATTAGTTTCCATCTATTGCTTCTTGTCCTGCCTTCAGGTGCTCTGGAGAATAGCTTTTCCCTCTTCCATGTGGCAGCCCCTGAGATATTGGAACACTGCTATCATGTCACCCCCAGTCACCTCTTCATTAAGCTAGACATACCCAATTCCAGCAACCGTTCCCCACATGTTCTAGCCTCTAGTCCCCCAATCATTTGTTCTTTAGGAAAATATATAACAACATGAATGACGACAACATGCTGGTAAATATAGTCTTTGATATACAACAATTGGGACTGGAAATTTGATCATTAAGTGAAGCAGTCATTAAGATGTGATTGCTTTGCTTGTTAAGCCCATGTAACTTTCACTCAACAACCACAGTTTCTAACTCTGGGCTCTGATTACGAGGCTGAGCACAAGGAATTGGAAGACAACTTTGATACTAAACCTCAAGGCTCTTTTCCCAGAGAGCAGCTGCCCTTTGCCTCCTGAATAACTCTTATCTCCTTCCTTTCAACTTTTATAGAACAAGAAAAAATTCTGCGTATATAAACTATTGTAAAATTAAGATAAACAACAGTATTTTATTATGCAACATGTATATTAAATATTTTCTTGGCTGTACTGAGGGCTTTTTTATGAAGCTGCTATGTGTATAAATCTTTGTTTTAATGTGAGCTGCTCTGAGACATGTTTTGAGATGGGTGACTATACTGTATAAATCAACTAAATAAATAATTTTTTAAATCACAGTATTAAACTGATTCAAACATTGCAGAACACTTGTACTCTTGAACACTATTTTGGTTTTAATGTGTTAGACCAACATGCAGTGAATAAGATGATGATTGTTCCTTCAAATAATGAGTGGGAAATTTTGCTCAATGAATTATAAGATTCATTATTCCTTTCTTATGAGAAGCAACTACACTGAGATTTTAGCAATGTTAAACATCAACATTCAATAAGTTAGAAAGTAGACGCTCAGTTTATAAATTTTTAGATTTGTAACTTTAATTCTTCAACATGCAAGAAATGCTTCCACAAATCAAGAGCAACAATTTATTGATACTTTGGCACCTACCTCCTTAACTTGTCCAACCAATGTCCATTGATTCTACCAAGCAAATGAGGATCTGATAAAAAGATGGTTTTCAAGACAGAATGTGAATTCTGTTTGTTAGTCCCCAGACTCTGATTTTTCAATTCCGGCCAATGACACTGAATTATAACTACATAATAAATTAAAAATTCACAGAAAATGAATACAGTCAGAGTAAAACAAATAAGTTTCAGCATAAAAATGCCTCTTTTTCTCAAAGAATAATAGTTCATAGGTTTTAAGCCTTGAATCGCCATCTCAGCCTACAGCAGCACTTTTTCCATAGAAGTATCACCAATGTCTCTTTTTTCATACCCTGAATCAAATGTACATTACTGTGTATTTCATGTGGTTCTTCTCATCAGCTAAAAGACCTATAAAAGACACAGAAATAAATTTTATAGGGCCTGTACTGGATACAAACTACATTATCAGCCTCGTTCACATATAAACCCCAATTCAACAATGTGATAAATAAGAATGTATGGCAGTTGCTTAAAAGTGATTTGGTTATAAGCTCCACTGAACTCTTACAGCTTCATTCTTCTAACTAAACTGCATGGCATTGCTCTGTAACATTTTATAGTGACAGATTTTAAAAATTTACCAAATAAAATAACTGAATTGTAATAAAAGACAAATCTATCTCCAACATGTGTATTTAAAAAAAATACTGTATGAGAAGTAGTAATATTTGTGATACCTTTTTTTTTTTTAAACTGACATTTTTGGCTTCAGAATAACTATTCTGAATTGATCACAAGCTGATCAACTTCAAACCAGGGCATTCTGACCTCAAAATTGTTGTCTATAAATTGCTTTACATACCAGACATTTTCTGATTCTGTGCTGTAAACCTCCATCATGGGACCCCTTACTCTAGCTCTATGTCCATTTCTCTACCCAAAAGAGCCATCATTCATTTCACACTTTAAAGAGATTTTCACTGAAGGGCCTTTCAATGGTTTACCTACTCATCAATAGAACTGAAAGAGTAATATTTACTATTTCTGTATCTATCAAAAGAACACTTGTAAATCATTTACTATTTAAATTAATACAACACTGCAACAATAACCATTTAATTTCTATTCATTAGTATAGCTGTGGCACATTCCATTTCCTTTCCTTTCATTTTGTGCTTTTTATGTAGGTTGCAAGGATTTCAAGAGTCCAGCAAGTTGATAGTTATTTTCAGCTATAGTTATTTCCAGAGACCACCAAAAACTCACCTTATTTTCTAAGGCCATTCTTGCCCCATAATAATTAATCAAGATTAATAATGTAGCTTGGATGGAAGGCCAACAGAAAATGCCTTCTTCCTTTCTGAGCAGACTCACCTCCTTGATGCATTGCTTTGAACATTCTTTTGTGTGTGTGTGTGTGTGTGTGTGTGTGTGCGTGCTTTTAATACAGTGCTTTCCCTTTTCAGACAGCAGCATTCATGCCTGGAAGCCAGCTCTGCAGAGGGAATTGCAACAGAGGGGGAAGGGATTGATAAGCACCAAGCCAGACTGGCAGGAAATTGGCTGTAACTGTCACTGTCAGTGCAGCTACTCTGGGAATACTCCAAAAGCAACTTAGATCACGCCAGTGTTTTGCAAGCTGCAGCAGTTTAAGAGAACTGCTGATTCAAAGCAAACATCTTTTGCATGACCTTGGTGAATGAGAAGGGCTCTCCTGAGGGGAAACAAAACAAAACAAAATGAGAGATTTCAAGGAGTTAAGCAAAACTCAACAAATCCATTTTTTAAAAAAAAAATATTGGGAACTTTCGTTGGAAATTGTTTTCTAAAATTTATACCTTTATAGTATATACATATTAAGATGTAATTATTAAAAGTAAACAGCACGGTTTCTTTCCCAACTGTAAGCTCAGGAAACCCACTATTTTACGGGTGGGGGTGGGGGTGGGGGTTAGGTTACTGTATCATATTGAGAGATCCTGTGGGTAAACCTAGTTCAGGGGTAGGCAACCTTGGCTCTTTTATGACTCGTGGACTTCAACTCCCAGAATTCCTGAGCCAGCATGGCTGGCTCAGGAATTCTGGGAGTTGAAGTCCACGAGTCATAAAAGAGCCAAGGTTGCCTACCCCTGAACTAGTTCAATATTACCATAATTTTCATTAGGATCAGCTAAACAAAGGGGGGGGGGGTTCCAAGCTTGCCAACTTTAAGACCTGTGGACTTCAACTCCCAGAATTCTCCAAGTCCACAGATCTTAAAAGTTGCCAAGGTTGGATACCTCTCAACGAAACCCTCACAAAGTAGAGAGCACACTTTGGGGCTAAACACAGTTGTCTTCACAAAGGAAGGTCAAGGAGCACAAAGCGATGGCTGGGCACAATTTCCAACACCTTCAAAAGAGCAACAGCTCCTCATTTTGCCCCGCCTCACTTCGGGGTGGACGAACCGTCCCATCGAAAGCATTGTGCTAGACTCCAAAGCTTTCTCGTTTGTGACTTTTCAGGTGGTCGAAATCAAACGTGACAAAGAACACCCGTCTTCAACAATGATTTGTTTAGTTCCGCCGTGACGAACTGGGGCAAAGGCTTGGCAGTGCAAAAAATGCGTGACACCGACCCACGCAAATCACACCTCGGCGCAATGCAATGCACGAACCCGACCCATTTCTCGCTCGGAGGAGCAGCAGCAATAGGCTTCCTTCAGTTCTCCCAGCGCGGAAAGCTCGGAAGGCAAAACAGAAACCCTTTCGAATCGGAAGTCAAATCGATTTCAGCCAACGAGAATTCCTCTATTTTCCTTCCTTCCGACCCTGCAAACAAGGCAACCTTTCCGCGCTATTATTATTATTATTATTACTAGGTCCAATCTCTTTGCGCCCATCTCACTCTTCAAGACGACTCAGCGCGCTGCTGCAACTCACCGAGGAGGGGTGGGCGGTGGGGGGGAAGATCTTCCGCTCCAAAAACGAAACGCGCCAGTGGGGAAGCTTCGCCTCCGCGTCTATGGGAGGGAGGCCGCCGGGAGCAGCTGAGCCGCCCCTCCGCCAAACCCCGGAAGAAAAGAGAGGCGGCAATGCAGGAAGGCAGGGTCCACCCGCCAGGCACCTGTGTGCGCTCGCCGCGTCTACGACGAAGTCCTCGTTTTGCGGAAGGTATACAACGTCGGCTAGGGGTGGAGTCGAAGGGAGCCCTTTCGCTCCTTTCCGCGTCTCTCATTCGCCCTCTTGAGGAGATAGTGCAGGGATAGGCAACCTTGGCTCTTTTATGACTCGTGGACTTCAACTCCCAGAATTCCTGAGCCAGCACAGCTGGCTCAGGAATTCTGGGAGTTGAAGTCCACGAGTCATAAAAGAGCCAAGGTTGCCTACCCCTGAGATAGTGGGCCTGAGCGGGCATCGCCACTGACCTGCCTTACCCCTGGATCGCGCTGGCCTCGCGGAAAGTTGCGGCGGGGTGTTCGGATGAGTAATTATTGCTGCCTCCTCACATCCGCGTTGTGCTGGGTTGCTGCTCGGCAAGGTTCCTACCAGCAAAGCGTTTCCAAGGTGATCGCGACTTGTTGTTGGGCGATAATGGCATCCGGATGCAATCGACACAGCAATGTCGCGTTGGTCCAAAGAATCGTTCCAAAACCAGGCGGTACCGAGCACAACACTCACAGAAACGGTACTGTTTAAAATTAGCCTAAGGTACCGGAGGAGGTGGACCATACCCTTATTCAGGGTAGGAGAAAACCAGAGATCGATAGGCTTGCTTTCTGAGCAAAATCTTGTTTATTAAAGCAGGTCATGCAGAATCTTCAAGTTTTAGGTGCAGTCCATGGTGGACCTCCATCAGCTGCAACCAAACCGTCATTTTTAATATAATACACAGGATATTATTAGGTTCACCGGGGAAAAACTGTTTTAAATGTGTATAAAAAAAACAAGCAGAGCTTCAATTTGCAGATCTTTGTCCAGTGGCAGCTGCATATTTGCAGTGAGCTTTCCTCAAGCACACTTTATTCCTAAATATTTGAAACCTGTCACCTGCTCTTTCTTGTGACCGTTTCTATGAGTGAGCCTCAGCTTCTTGAATAAGAGCAGGAGTCTTATCTAGGACTTAACCCAGTCTAGGACTTAACCCAGTCATGAGTGACATGTGTGGTTTCTGCCCTGTGGTTGGACCTGAACTCCAAAAGAAAGAAATCTACTTCCTCTAGAATAGTCTGCAGCTGTAATGGAAGAACTGTCTTCACTAATTTAGATCAGCAATTCATTTATTTTGAAATATACTTTTAAGAGGATATATCTATAGAATATATGTATCAAAAAATAAAAGCTGTATCATTTACATTTTTAAAAAGATTCTTAGAATTTTATGTAACCCTTAAGAGTGTAATAAAGGACACTTATCAGTTCAAACAATTTATTAAAAATGCTTTTAAAAACTATTGGACGTTCTCTTCCTTTAACCCAAAATCCTAGATAACATGGGATGTTGTCACAGTCATATCATTGAGATTTGCCTCCGTGGAATCCAGACTTAAACACATATGATCTATTTTATAGGCAAAGTATTTAGCAAGTATATCGTAGGCTTACAGATAAATCATCCTGCTTATCTATCCCCAGCAAGACATAAATCACCTTAGCAGTTTAAGACGGGTCCCCAGGCCGCAGGCCACTACTGGGCTGTGGCCCATTTAGAACAGAGCTATGCAAGCAACTGGTGTGCACAGCTCAACTTGTGCAAGCGGCAGGCCGGCTGCATTTGCACAAGTGGTAGGCAGACACTCACACACTGGCCCACCACTTGCGCAGGCCAGTTCCCCTCTCCCCACCCTGCCGGGCCATCAAGCCATAAAGATTGGGGGCTGCTGGTTTAAGACCTGTTACATAATTTTTTTTCCTAATGTTATTCTCTCAATAACTCTGTAAGGAAAGATGGGATGAGAATTTAGCCCAAAGTTATTGTTTTAACAATGACTTCCTGGACATATCACACATTCATTTTCAAAAAAAGTTCCACACATCTAAGTTATAAAATGACCTTGAAATACCTTTGGATAGAACAACCATAGTTTGAACTAAACATTGGTCCCCAAGTTCAAACATAAGGAAGCTCTACAATTAGTTTAAAAATCAGAATCAATTACTTCTATTTTCCTCTTTTGAGATATGCCTCCAGAAGACAGAGAAAATGGAAGAGCTTAAGTACCTCATTCACCTTCACTTACTGAATGCCAAATCACAGTTAAGCATTGCATTTAAAGCCAGTCCCAAATTTATTAAAAATAGAGGAAGAATAAAAACTATACAAATGATGCAAAATGAAAAATGGATAAGAGTCATGATTTTATTGCACAAATTAAGAAGTTATTCTGTTGAGAGTTGATTTTTCTGTATATACTCAGTATACTTTAATAATAATATTGACTGATCACGTTATTTCCATAAAGTTGTACGAGGATTGCCAGCTGTCAACCCTGATGTAGAAGTGATTCCATAAGTGGAACTTAACTTTTTTAAACACTTTTCATAATGAGTATTCAGCTTTATGGCTTCTTGTAGAGCATATTTTAAATCTTCTATTTCATCAAAGAAATCCTGAAAAGTTATGACACAAAATGTTTTACTTAAATTCTACTTCTGAATTAGATACTTTGTCTCAAACTCTGTTTCTTTCTACAAAGAACATTCCTGCTTCAAATAATTACAAAATTTGCTAATTGAAGAAATTATTACAAATCCTACATTTGTAGTAATGAATAACCACTCCTGCCCTAGCACTAATCCTTCGTTATAGAATTCAGTGTTTTGTTTTTATAAATTGTACACATGTATATAAAATCAGTTAAAATAATGAATTCAACTGGCCATATTTCTAAGGTTCCAAATTTAATACAAACAATAGACATAAAACAAATTCCCTTTCTACAGATAAACATAGTGTCCAAATCAAATGCTGTATATAGTATCTCTAACAGATATATTACAATCTTAAAATAACAAGAAATTATTTGAAAATAGAATTGATTGCACATAAAGGATTATATACTGTATTTAGAACTTTTTATTATCCATCTTCGTATTATAATCTATAGCATGATTTCATCCTATACAGTATCACACCTGTACTTAGAAGTTTTCAAAGAACTGTCTTAAATACATAGAACAATACATTTAACAGACAACTGTATCTTCAACCCAAAGATACATATAAACAGGCAAAGAGCATTATACATTCTTAAATATGCCTCTGCTTGGAAGGGGGAGCATTACTTAACCTATCCCTATCCACTGATCAGCAAAGCCAAATCTTCTAGAGCACGCTCACAATGTAACAATGCATAAAACTTTATCTCCTATAGCAAACATTTTCCATTTGCAAATAGGAGCTTTTTCTACATTGCCTCAATATTTTTTTTTTAAAAACCCACCTTATCTAATGCAGCAAGCTCATTTTTTAACATTCTTCTTTCTTTGGAAAGCGTTTCATTTTCCATCTTCAGTCGCTGTGTCTCATAAAGCAGCTGGTCTAAAGTACATAAGTAATCTCTTTAAAGTCACTAAAAGATAAAAATTATGTTCTTATTCTTTTTTAACTGTACCTCAGAATTGTTTTCACTTCAGTAAAATCAGGTTTTCCTCTTAGAATGTGTCAGGTTTAAGGCCTGAGAATACAGTATTTCAATTTCAGTTTTACGGTCTTATCATCATCTCATTTTATTTTCTGAAGAGTCAAGGTATCTTACAGAGAATTCAGAATAATGAAACAGTCAAAGAAAAAGCAGCTGTGAAAAGAGAAAATCTCAAGGCTCTGGAAACTACAGATCTGCAAGCACTGGCATAAAGCAGTTGTCAGTCTAAGAAGTCAGTCTTGGTGAAAGAAGAAAATGTTAACAGTGTGGAGTTTAATGGTATAGTTAAGCAATCACACTGTAAACCAGGACATTGTAAATTCTAGTCCTGTCTTAGGCCCAAAGCTAAGTAGGTGACCATGGGCTAGTCTCTCCCTTTGTTTTATGGATTTATGGTCCAAGCACAGAAAACCATTTTGGCTGTATAGGGCAAGGAATTATCTACAGCAGCTAAGACCAGTTTATATAATGCAGGAGCCAGAGAAGTAGTATAGATAAAATATGGTAAAAAAAAATCTTTGCACAAGCCAAATACAGTAATCAATTTGAAAGAGGAAAATGTCACTCGGCGACAGCAGGTACAACATACTCAAATATATTGTAGAGAATATGTGCCAGACTAAAATTTAAAAATCTATTCAGAATTGCACATAATTTGGCAGCACTTTCTATAAGGTGATAACAGTAACACTTCTTCTCTTGTGATACACATCTCCTCTATCTACTCTCACTATAATATAGATTACACTGACAGAAATAAAGCCAGTAAACTTTATGACAAGTGATGGTCCATTTCCTGGTCCTAGTCTGAAAATAAACAGTACATACCATCAACTCTCCTTAAGGACCATAGTTCCCCATCTCTGATCTAAATAAAGGAGACTATAGAAAACATAATTATGATACTATTTCATTAATCAATGTTTGCATCTTAATAGGAAGTATTTTAATGTCTTTTTGGAATGGGAAGAAGTTAATTATATGCATTTTCAATGCAAGGGTACTCTAATATTCAAATTACTGGATTTCCATTTATAGACACAAACATATTATCTTGGGTCAGGAGCTACACATGGACTATCAAGGAATCAGATGCAGCTCCTTAAATCCTCTGAATTTTTCTGCCTTGCCCCTTCCTTTCTACGAATATACATTACATCTCACTGTACAATGTATGTATAAATGTATGAATGATTTTTTTCTGAAATATGACCACAGTGCATGTGCATATATACTAAGGCTCATATGCTGTCTCTACCAATTAATAAGACTAGAAGTTTTCCATTTCCCTTTTTTCTTTTAAACCATACTTAAAAATATCTCTACAGTACGGCACAGCAAAAATATCTGTAATCTATGTTTTTTTTTCTCCCTTATCACCGAGAGCTGGTATAAATCCCCCCCC